ATGAGACGTAAAATTTTTTTTAGACCTGAGATTATCGTAGTAATTGATAAGTCATTTATTATATTTTTATTCTGAATATCTATGGTTATAGAACTTAGTTGAAAGGATATTAAGTGTGATTAAATACTTGTAGAATTAATGATTGATCAAGACAGAATCTGTCAACTTTGATAATAAGTTTAAGTTTTATGTTGTCATTTGTTATAATGACTAAATTAAAATTTTGACCATGACATTTGAATGAAGGAATAAAAGAGTTTCTTATGTTATTTATTAGTCAATTATAATTGATATGAAATATAGTCGATTATCTATTGAGATTTGACAATTAAACCATATTTTAGAATTAATTCAGAGCAATAATGACAAAATGAAATATTATATATTTATTTAATAGGTTATTGAGAGTAATTGTATATTTCATGTTATCCGGTCGTTGAACACTGTTGCTAAACGCCAACCTTAATTAATAAATTGATTTGACCAATTTGCTACCAGTTTAGTGTTGAACCTGTGGAGTCGCACACTAAAGAGTGTTTTGACTTTTACTAAATAGATTAATTATTTCAATTATTTAAGAATTAAATTAAAAAATTCAACTTAATCAAATAAATAAATTTTTTTGTCTAAATAAAATATTATTATATTTTTTACTAGTACTGAAAATATAATTAATATTGAAAATAAATTAGATTTTTTTAATTTTGAAATAGAAAATTAATATACATGTTTTTAAATTATTATATTATTAGTGTAATAATATAATATGTATGATTATTATAATAATTAAATTTATTTATAAAATTATTTTATTAAATAATAATAATTAAAAAAAATAAACATATATATATATGAGATATATATGTAAATATTTGGGTGTTGAAAAGAAAAAAAAAAAGTGGATGAATCCGATTAAATTTATAGCTCTATGGGGAGAGTCCAAAAAGAACTCATCCACCCATGCCACCTATATATATACATATATATATATACATATATACACACATATGAGTGGGGGTAGGTTTTGAAAAAATGGTTGAGAGGTGAATTAGAAAATCAGCCGCACATAGAAGGAAAAATTGGTGAATTTTTCTATTAAAATATTTGTGAAAAAATTTTAACATATCAATTTGCTTATATGTTTATGGTATGTTGTATTTTTGTTGATTAAAAAGTTGAAGAATAAAGATAAATTTTAGTATATATCGTATTTTTAAATAATTTTAATTTAAAAATTTGTTTTAAATTTAATATTTAATTTTTTAATATAATTTTTAAGTATAAAAAAATAAATTTAAATTATTTTTTATTTTTCACTTATAACGCGTACTATAGTCAAACACGCACATTTTCACACAACAACATGTAACCTCCTTATTCTAGTCTGACTGGTATAATCTGTTGTTAGCTCCTTGACTCTCTCTATTCGCCCTACAAACATGCTCGCTCCCTCTTCAAGATTTATAATTCCATTTCTTGAATCCCATTTGGATCCAAGGTTACTGCCCGACTCTCTCCATTGTTATACCCAATATATATCCGTCATATTTCCTTCTCTCTCAGCAGATGTTTATCGCTGTATTCACGCGATTCATCCTCAACACCGTTTCCCATTTTCTTCATCACTCCCTGTGATATTTCCGATCTAATCATGTCAGCTTAAATGTACTGCTAGTCCTCCCTAATCAGACTCTCTCCACCAATTTAGACCCCCCCCAGCATGTCCATTCTGTTCGTTCAAGACTTTTCCTCATCATTTTTCTATCACCGCAGCACCTGACTCATGCCCGTCCTCTACTCTTCTAATTTACCTCAACATGAGATTCATGCAATATTTTCACTTCGTCAATTCAGTTTACACACAATACACAACATGGAACTCCGCAAGAAATTTCACATTTCACAACATAAGACATTTATTCACGTCTATTTCGAATCCGGGTTTTCAAGAGCAAATCGGTCTTACCTCTTCATTCCCGAGTGATGGCTATGGTATGGTGCGTCGGTGAACTCCTTCATCGCTCGCCCTCTGTTCGGCCATTGAAAATGGCAGTTCTCTCTTCTTCCTCCAGTTACCCACAGCCGCTCTCCATTTCGGCTAGCGTCTCCGCTTCTTTTTCCTTTTTTTTTTTTTTTTTTCCTTCTTTGAAATGGTTGAGAAGATGAAGCTTTTAATAGGGATTGTGGGGACCGTTCGATGTCGGGAATAGATCTGGGCCGTTGGCTTCCTTGCTCCATTTAAATTACCAGATTTTCCTTCTCTTTTAAAAATCTTTACTACCCAATCCCTACCCTATTTTCATATTGTCCCTCTTCTTTCAAAGCCTTTGCGACTTGGTCCTTTCTCTTAACCTTTTGTAATTTTTATAAATTTGTTTTCCGCTAAATCTTTACAAAAGTACTACTCTGGTCACCATTCGATCTTGGGATGTTACACAAAATCTTTCTTGCTACGCACATCGAGGTTCAAGATTGTTAGAGCGATTGTTAGAGCGTTCATTTCATGAAGGCATTAGGTACCAGTTACTGATGATGCAACCTCCTTTTATTCGTATTGCTTATAGTGGGAATACAAACCCCAAACACTGTCCAACAGTGAAATTCAAATGAGCAGCTTTACATTTCTAAAAGTCAAGGACTGGGTTTACGTTTCAACATCATATGCTCTTAATTTCCGAACCATGGTTGGAGATTATAGCACATCTTCAATTTCATTGCCCACGAAAGGAAACTTGGTCGAACGGCGAGCATGGACGGCAAACGATGTTAATCAGTGTCAAATACTTCACGGCAGAGCGGACAGGTGTTGTGGTTCGCCAACCACCGAATGATGCAAGATTCATGGAAGAGGTGACGACACGGCAGATCGATAAGCTCCTCACCGCCTGATAATCGTTGGAGACATATCGAGCAGTCTACACCTTCTCCTATTTTACTGTTATCACTGTGCAGTCTCCTCTCCCTTCTAAGCCAACAAAGAAAACTTGCCGAGACACCATTGTTATTTCGGGGACCACCGTCCTCAATAACTAGCGTGAAAGTAACAGTAACATACGCAAGGGTAGAGAAAGAACTACAATCTTCTAAAACCGATGGATTTAGGATCAAGAAGCTTAAAATTTGGTGGGTCAAGAAATTACAGAATTCGTCTTCCCTAAAGACGGCGAAAAGCTCATGGAAAATGTACGGTCCCAGATGGTCAAATTCATCTACAAGTGGAACATAGAACGAAAAAACACGATGTTCAGGAGATCGCCGGGTATCCACGAGAGTCTCTATTCCGGCGGAATCACGATATACAGTATTATGATCTCTGTCTATGCGAACATCAAGATATATTCTTGACGCAGGAAGAGTTTGGTTTTGAGGAAAGACACTGAGTCGAAGCTCAACTCTCCTTCTTGAGGCCATTTCTTTATTCATACAAGAGTTACACAGTGGGAGCCGCAAGACAGATAGACTGTGAATAAAGAAAGATGCAAGAAAGGATTTGTGCGAAAGACTCGGTTGTGAGAGATGATGGAGGAGAGTGTCCTGTTAATGAAGGAGGTTAATATTGCGCCTAGCGCCACCGTACTCAAAATCTGCCTCGTCTTTTCTCGTTCGTTAAATCGGCGTCGTTTAACTAAATGAGTGAAACGACGTTGTTTCGCGCTCCTCTTTTTATATTCTGAAACAGGGTGAAACGACGTTGTTTTGTTGCTTGATTCGGCTTGGGCTCGCTGTTTTCTTCTGGGCTTCATCTTTTTTCCCCCTGCTTTACTTTTTTCTTACTGGGCTTCATCTGCTTTTCCTTTCCTCTTATAACCATGCGTGATTTTAATTTGAATATTTTAATTACTAACCCATTAGTGTTACTATTATAATTATCAATTTAATTATTATTTTATTGCTTGATTATTTATTATTATATACACATATACACATCATAATTATGTGGTGGTGCAACGTAGAATTTCCATGGATGTGGGGGCCGAACTTAAACATGCTCTCATTAAATTTCATAGACCCATTTGGTGGGTCACAATTCCCACATCGAATGAACAAGAAACATAAATATGTCAATACATTTTGTGACCCAATTATACCAAACTTGTCAACAGCCGGTCAAGTTGGCTCAAGTAGGTTGTAAGAGAGCATTTTATTTCATTCTTTTTAGTAAAAAAAAAATAATAATATTATTTGCTCTCATATTAAGTCTAAAAATTAAAAAAAAAAATACGAAAAGAAATTCCATTATATGGAATATTAATAATTAGTCAATAATTTAGCAGTCAATTTACGGCCAAACCGAATTAAATTGTATTAAATTATATATATATATATATATATATATATATATATATACTGGGGCAGTTCGATAATCCAAATATCTCAAGAAAATCACAAAGTTTTGTGACCAAAGAAGTCAATGGAGGCATCCCAAGGACCCACCCAAGTCTATGTAATATATATATATATATGGTTGACTATCATTGTTTTTCAGAAATGCTAAATTATGAATAGTCTTTTATGATGACATTATATAAAAAATTAAATAAAATTCTAATTTAATACAATTTTTTTTTAGATTATATATATAATTATCAGAATTTTAATTTAATTTTTTTTTCATATATAAAAAAAAAATATATGATTTTAATACCAAATATTATCGTAAAAAATCGCGAGTACTTGACTGAAATTCATTTAAATTAAGATCATAATGGGAGGTTCATAATTTATTTGTATTAAAAAAATATAATCAAATTATAATTTTTAAATGGTTTTATAAATTAAAAAATTTTAAGAAAAATAAATAATAATTAAAATTACTATTATTATTATTTTAATTATTTGAGAATTGTAGTGTCTGCAAATTGCTTGGCTGATTGAGACACTACAACCACAACAAGGTCCACACCATTGCTCATGCTGCACATAACAAACAACAGGTCAGTCGTACAGCCATGCACGCGCATCTTTATATATGTAGAAGACAAGACTGTTAAAATGGGAAGATGAAGTCTGGTGAAGATAAGAACTTTGACTTAAAAAGAGAGAATTACTCTTGTCTTCTGCGATTCTTGTCTATGTCTCAACAATGGCTTCTTGGTGGATAACGAAGTATAACAGAGCGTCTCAACAGGATCATTTCCACCCTCATTACATACAAGACAAGAAGAAAACAATCAGAGACAAACCCTGGAGTTTTGATGAATCTATTCTGCTACCTCAACCTTGTCAAAATTCAAAGCTTTCTTCCGTTTCCATTAAAGGGTGTTCTGTGTTGTCGGATTCTGATTTCGAAGTAGCAAATAAGAGTTGTTCTGAGAAGAAAGCTTATCCTCTGCCTCGGCCTTCTGGTTCCTGCAAGCTATCAATGCAACTGGATCGCGAAACAGTCTCGGTTTCTAGTCAAAGCTCATCAGGTTCCTCTTCTGATTATGGGGATTTTGGTTTTTTCAGGTACTTTTTTTTTCTTTTCTGATACTTATCCTTGTCTGAAGGTTATTGTCTCGCGCTTAATTCTTGCCTCTCATGCCTTCCCACCCACATGTAGTTTCCCCTTGGTTTTCATCAAACACTAGGCTCAGTTTAGATTTTCACTCATAAAGTTGGAGGCCAGTATTTTGTTGGGTTTCTGCTTCTGTTTTTACTTGCTCAAATAGTTAAGCTGTCTGGTTATTTCAGGGCTGTTGAAGAAAGCAAGAGCAATGCAGGGTCAACAGGTTCAAGTCCTGGATCAAAAGCTTCTTGTGTCCAACACCAAGTGGAGTCTCCAAATACAAAGAATGAAAACATGAGGCATCCATGCCATCCCCTTCCTCTGCCTCCCATTACACCTATACAAAGCTCAAAATGGAAGAAGGGTAAGCTTCTAGGAAGAGGGACATTTGGCCATGTCTATGCTGGATTCAACAGGTAACCATGTTCTTCTTCTCCACAAACATTCTACATTTATATGTATAAAATTAGACCCAGACCTTGTGCTTTGTGTGGAGACAGTGAAAGTGGACAGATGTGTGCGATAAAGGAAGTCACCATAGCTCTTGATGATAAGTCCTCAAAAGAATGTCTCAAGCAACTGAACCAGGTACTGCGTCTCGTCTTATTTTACTTGGAACAAACACAAGTCAATTACATAAAATGAAAATTACCAATGTTGAACGTGTATGTTTTATCAGGAAATCTTATTGCTTAGTGAACTGCAACATCCCAATATAGTTCAATACTATGGAAGCAAGCTGGTAAACTCAATAACCCCATTCTCAATCTATCATATCCTTCAGCCTATCTGATTAGCTGATGCAGGATGAAGATAAACTGTCAGTGTATTTGGAGTATGTCTCTGGGGGTTCAATCCACAAACTCCTCAGTGAATATGGTCCCTTTGAGGAACCCGTTATTCGGAGTTATACCAGACAAATTATTTCAGGCATAGCTTACTTGCATGGAAGGAATACTGTGCACAGGTGTGTATATGTATATGTAATTTGAATTGCTTATATCTAATTCCAAACACACTAAGAAGAGATGAGTTTGACATGGCAGAGACATCAAAGGGGCCAACATTCTGGTAGATCCCAATGGTGAAATTAAGCTTGCAGACTTTGGAATGGCTAAAAATGTATATGTTTCTCTTCTTTGTTGATCAATTTTGTTTTTTTTGTTTTGTGTGTTCTTCATAGTATTTGACTAACATATTTCTGATTTTATATATGTTAAAATTTAGATAAGTTGGTGTTCTTCAGGGATATCTTTTAAAGGAAGTCCTTATTGGATGGCACCTGAGGTATTATTATTTCCTCTCTACCAAATCTTTACTCTTTTGTGTCTGCATATTGTTTCCAAAGAAGTGATGTTTGATTTCATGTGGGCAGGTTATTATGAATACAAATGGCAACAGTGCTCTAGCTGTTGATATCTGGAGCTTAGGCTGCACAGTTGTTGAAATGGCAACATCCAAGCCTCCATGGAACCAATTCGAAGGGGTAATCATATACTATCTTCTTCTTCTTTTTCTTCTTCTACATATTCTTGTTAGTAGCAAAATTCTAATGTAGTTTCATGGAAACAGGTCGCTGCAATATTTAGAATTGCAAACAGCAAAGAATATCCTGAAATCCCGAGTTATCTTTCTGAAAATGCCCAGAATTTCATAAAACTCTGCCTGCAGAGAGACCCATCCGTACGCCCTACAGCTCCACAGCTGCTACAGCACCCTTTTATCCAACAGCAAGACAACCAGCCTCCTCTACATTACGGATAAAGAATTTGGTTACAGTGTTTCAAATTTCCAAGCAGACAACTCCATGAGTTTATTACTGCAAAACCAGAATCCTCACACAAGATAAAGATCATCACAAGACGAGATCACCAAGAGCCTCATTGTCATCTATGTTCAGCATGTTTAGAGAAAAACTGGAGATTCCAGTTTATGAAAACATCAACCATGTCTCTTTGCTGTCGAACAATGCAAAACTGTAATTGCCTGTTCCTGGAAGTGTGAGAAAACCCAAAGAGCAAGGCAATTCGGGGCATGCCAAGAAAGAAAGAAAGAATCTTGGAGCTGCAACTGATGGGAAACTTGTTCCTAAGCTAATGAATTTTCTGGATGGGATTGAAAGAGGATGAGGGCAAGATTGTTTCTGCACTAGAATCAGAAGCAATGAAGAATTCTCAGTGACTTATAAAAGAATGTAAGAGCTTGCATTAAGCTCACCTCGGCAGACAAAGCCCGGATCTATGACTTGTAAATTAAGAGGTAAAAAGAAGCTACTTGGACTGAATGTGTAAGTAAAGATATGAGCATAATTTTCAAACACTATTCTATTGTTTTTAATTTAATATTTTTAAAATAAAAATACAATATTAATTTATTATTAACAATTTTTTAATTATAAAAAACGCAAATAATTTTTATTTTAAAATTAATATTTATATTAAAATAAATAAAAATTACTTCAAAATAAATTTTTTTATATTAATTTAAATGATTAGAACCAAGAAAATTTCAAATATTATTTAAAATAATTATAATAATTAATCTGTATTCGTTTTATAATTTTATTTGTATAACATAATATTTACCTTAAAAAATTACTTCTAATCCACCCTTAGGCGCGGGCCGGGTCACTTGTCAGGCCGTCGTGGCCCAGTCATAACCCTTATAAGAACCCGTCTCGCTGTTTTCGCTCTCATGCATTTTCTTTCGTCAATGGCCAGTCAGTCTCCTTCTCCGCTTCACAGCAGCATCCAAAAACTCCATTGCTGAAACACCATCTCTTTCCGTGTTTTCTTTTTCCCTGAAACGTTTACCTCTACTGAAAACCTAATCCAGCAAATCTTCCCTCATATTTTTGGTATACAATTACTCACCTTCAAAACTATTCTTTCTCTATTTCTCCTCCTTGTTCTGCCGGTTCCACTGACTGTTACCATCCAAATCAAACCCTCACTCGCGAGCTGAGTCGCCCTCTCTAATTCACTCTTAAATCTCCCAAACTTCTCTCCCGGTTTGGCATACCCTTCTTTTATCACCTATCTTATATCATTGAGGCTCCTCCAAGCGGCCGCTCAAGCATAAAATAACCCGATAACCTACCTCCTCTCATGGCTTGTCTTGGCCGATCCGTTTGAGTTGAAATTAAGAGAATTGCTATATACTATTTTGGAAAAACAGCAAAGAAATTCGCAATGTCATCGTGCAAAACCGAACCTGCAGCTAGCGAGGAAGATAGGTCGAAGGGCCGCAAACATTTCTTCGATGTCTATGGACCCCAAGTACTTTTTTCCCCCTCAAAAACTAATGCAATGTCTATATTTCCTTGCACTTCCATCTGTTTTTCCAATTATTTATTACTAGCGTTTGAGTGTTACTCTTCTTGTGAATTACTCGCAACTTAAATTTCGGAACTTTTAAACGGGTTTCAATCTCTTCTGAGTAAAAGGACACAATTTTGGGTTATGCTATTAGCTTCTTTTTAAAAGATAATTATAGCTGTTTTTTTAATGTAATTCGTCTAAGCTTTCAGATTATATGGACGCTCAGGTGTTGTTTGTTTGCAGAGAATAAAATGCACAGGAAGTGTGATAAATAGTGGTATGGGATGTAGTGAAGGTTTAAAAGCATTTTTCACCGGTTTTGTTAACATAACTTCATCTTTCAATCAAGCTATCCCTTTTGCTCTCACCCCAGTTTATGATCTTCTCAGCTAAATCCATGGTACTACGGTAGGCTTTGTTAAAATTTTAATCTCATATAATAATAGACCTCGTTGAAAGGTTCTTGCTGATGATTATAGCGTGTTACCATCCTAGTGAACCTTTTATTTAGAACTCTGATAAAAGAAAACTGATTAAATATTAATTTTATCTAGCTTGGAAAAGATGAAAGTAAATATTCACCTCTTAATTAAGTTAGTGTTTGGAGTTTTTGTATTTGGTGAACTGTGATGGTTTATGTAATGTATTGACATGATTTACTCTTGCAGGCAAAGGCGGAGATTGTTTTTAAGATGCCAGAAGCTAATTCAACTTTGAATTTGGAAGTAGGTTTCTCGATGAATTATATCTCCTAATCTTTACTGACTACTTCAAATTTCTAAGAAACTAATTGTTTGGTTTTCATGCTCAAAAAGGATATTCAAAGACTTGTAACTTGGGTGCTTGCTGAAGGATTCATGCCTTCTTGGGTTTTTATTAAGGTGAATGACATTCCTCTTTATTCGTTACTCCTTTTCACTTATGTTTTACTTGCATGTGTCAGGTGAAACCCAAATTAGTCATGTAGCAGATGGGGCAACTTCTATATACAATAGAAATTTGTGTTTGTAGGCTCATACAGCAACATGTCTTTTTTGTTACATCTTTCTATCTTTTTGTATCAGTTCTTAAGGGCTTTGAACTTATGAACGATTTACTGTTGTATTAGATACTTCGGGCAAGGTGTCCACTCTACTATAATTTTCAATGTAGGGCAAATGAAGATAAAAATCTAGACATTACATTAGGGTTTCTTAGACATCTCTTAAGTATCACACTTAAGGGTTTGATTGTATTGCACGACTAGGAAATTGTAAAATTCTCAGAATATTTTATTGAATAACTGAAT